AACCCAATCGGCATGGTGATGCCCGGCTGGCTGTCAGGCTCTGCAGGCCAGCAGTGCCACCCTGACAGCAGAGAGGGCTGCTGGGGCTCAGGGCACAGCGCTGCCTCCTTCCCTCCTTTTGAAGAGGGATCAGCAGTCAGTGGGCTGAGCCTAAGCCACGCCCCCCCCCCCCCCATCTGCAAGGGCCTGACCCTGTAGACCATCTGAGGGCTCTGTTCAGAGTTCAGCACCTGCTACACAGCTCAGGGTCTCCTTGCTTGGCCCCGACAAGCATGCGGCGTTCGCCCTTTATTCACGGTGCTCGGATTGCAAGCTTCACTGGACACCTGATAGTGGACAGTGCTCATTACCTATGAGGTCTGTCTACGACGGGCTCATTGTCCAGTTAGGTGGTCTGCATAACACACAGCCTGTACCTACACATAAGGGAGCGCTGGGGGGGGGTGTGTGTGCGTGGAAGGTAGAGCGGTGGGGCCGTTCACCCCACCAGGGCAGATGTTTCTCTCGGCTCATTTCAGCGGCTGTCATGAGTTGTATATCGTCTCCAAGGCGGCAGGAGAAGGGTTTCCATGGAAACAGTGCTGCTGCTTGACGAGCGTAAAAAAGTGTGCCAAACTCCAAAGGGAGTATCTAGGGTGTGTGTGCGTGTGGTATTTTAGCCTGGCCATCTGTCTCAGATTAGGGTCGTCTTGCCGAAGCAGCACCGAACGGCCACGGGCAGCTACCTGGCACTCTGGCCGCGGTGTGGAGCTCCTTGCCGCCCAGCCTCTGGCCCCTGCCTTGCTCCATGTTGTTGGCAGCAGGTTAGCGGAGGTCTGGAACCTGCTGTCAGGGAGCAGACTGGAGCCGCCCGGATGACGGCCGCCCTGCGCCGCGGAGGAGCCATCGATCCAGCCAATCTCTGACGCTTTAATGGTCAATTTCACCTTCGGAGCCCCGTCGATATCTCTCACTTAGCAGGTGAAGGGAGTCGCGGCATTTCGGCAATGAGAACGGAGCTGTCTGGGATGACGTGGCTTCCTGTTCGTTGGGTCCAGTCGGTGGGATCCATTTCCAAGTCACATATGCCGAGCAAAACCCAGCTCAGCCCCGCGGGGTCACAGGTGGACCACGGTTGATCTTTTCTGCTCAAAGATTCATGGAACGTTTCCCGTCGACTCCTGGTCCCAGAGAAATCTTACTTTGGGTCCTTTGTATTTTATGTGTGCGATCTGTACATTATCACCCTGAGAAAGTGATTTTACTGCCAAACGAGGGGATAAATTATGAAATTTTCTCATCACACTTGTGGCGTCTTCCTGAAGTTTCATCAGTGATAAACGGGGACGTGTGTGTGTGTGTGTGATGGTGGTGGTTGTTATGCTGCTTGGCCCCCTGCAGGTTCACATAGTCGTACAGCTGGTAGCCCTGTAGGACTTCCAGGGTGATTCAGGTCTGCCTCACTCTCTCTCACTCTCTCCCTCTCTCCAGTTCCTCAGGGAGTGATCCAGAACGGAGCCCGGATAGTGAGCCAGGGTCTGTTTCCCGGAATCCGATCCATTCCCATCAACCCCATCGGGACCAGGACGGCCATTGTGAGGTCAGCAGCAGACCCTCTTCCACACCTCCATGTCTGCTCTCTAACACCATGCAGAGAATGGGACACACACACACACACACACACACAGACACGGAACTCTAATCCCAACTATGACAACGTTAACCCCTACCTAACCCTAACCATAAGTAACCAAACAAAACACAAGATTGTTTGGCATTTTTAGTTTTTTGATTACAGTCACACATTTTTATAAAATTGAATTTCCCCTTGTTGGGACCAAAAAAAATTCTATCACATTGTGGGGACGTTTGGTCCCCACAACGTAATGTATATCTGGACCCCCCATACACACACACACAGACACACAGACTCCCTGGGGTCGGGTAATGGACCAGCTCTGGGCCCTTTGGATCCTCTGAATGTTCCCTCAGTGTAAAGGCGGGGAAAAGTCGACCCTCTGTGTGTCAGGAGGCAGTACATTTACACATTAATTATTAAACAGAGTTCCCTGACTGTGCTGTGTAGCAACAGGGGCTTGAGTCATAAATGCAGGATGTAGACAGGCTGAAAGAGGCTGACAGCATCACGCATGGGGTGGGTCATGGGGGAGTGTGACCGTGTGTGTGTGTGTGACCGTGTGTGTGTGCTCACGTAGGTCGGTCCTGGATGATTGTCGCAAATGCAGCGACAGCGAGCCTTCCTGTGACTCTCCACTGGTCAGCAGTGACCCCAAGGAGGACCACACCTACAGCAGCGCCAAATCTTCCAACCCCCCGCAGGGGGGCAGCCCCTGTCCGCACGGCCAGGCGGGGGCGCCGCGGGGCGACACCGGCAGCGACGCGGACGACGTGGACAGCGGGCGGCTCAAGAAGGAGCCCGCGGATCGACCGGCGGACGGAGCCGGCCTGGCCCAGCACAAGAAGCGGCAGCAGTGGACCCGAATGAGAACGCGCTGCCCCAGCGAGTCACTGCCCCTGAAGAAGAGGCACACGGAGAAGCCGCCGGAGAGCGACGACGAGGAGATGAAGGAGGCGGCCGGCTCGCTGCTGCACCTGGCCGGCGTGCGCGCCTGTCTCAACAACATCACCAACCGAGCCGCCAAGGGCCAGAAGGAGACCCTGAAGAACTGACCTTTACCGCTGGCTTGTTTTTCAGGACATCAGGTCAATCCTAATGATTTGTGGCAATATCAAGAATCACTTTGTTTTCCTATCCTTTAGATACTGTTTCTGAGGGTTTTTAGTTTAGTTTTGTTACTTTTTAAAGGAGATTAAAGCCATATGAAAACCTTCACTGACGTTCAGCTGATGTAGGACCACGTTTTTGTTGGCTGAAACAAAGGCACCGGAGAGAAAATCAGCCACCCTCCCAGATTTGATTGGCACGGGTACAGGCGGGACAGGCAGTCCTGTCACCAGCTGTCACCACAGAAACCACTCCCAGGATGCTTTGCAGCTGTGGGTGGCCTCTTGAATGGCTGCTGTGGCTGGGAGACCAGCATGCTCACGTAGGAGAGCGCCACCCTCCAGGCCTTAATCCCTAAGCTCTGACCCAACAGCTGTGGTCACGCTCCCACAATCCCGAGCGGTTACTGCTGTGGGGATGGGAGCCTTTTGTAGCCCTGCTCTGCAACTGGTGACCTGGGGTCCAGTTCTTCTCCATAATTTCGTCCACTACAAAGGCTGGGCATGGGGGGGGGAGGTCACTGTTAAAGCCATTAGCTGTAGTTCCAGATGATTATGTGGGGAAAAACAAACCAAAATTAAACTCATCGAAACGTCTTCAAAACTGCCTGTTTTTGCCGACCGAATTGGTAAATTATAATCAAGTGATACAAAACGGGGACATTTCCCTGTTTATCTGCAGTTAAACTGCAGCCAGACTTAGATGAGAGTATTAAAAATGTGCAGCAAAACCTGCCAAGTTTTAGCAACAAAAATGTCAAAGTAACTGTGGAGTAACTTTTTTTCTTTTCTTTTCGGTTTGGTCTTGTTTTGCGTTTCCAGCCCTCATGACGTAATAAGCAATTTCACGCAGTCAGGACAGTGCTGTATAAAAGTTACACTAGACTTTCTCCCTTCCTAATTTAAGCAATGTAGCCAGCGGGATTTTCCAAATCGTGTTGCATGGGTTCTGTAAACTAAAAGAAACTGTTTTTTATTCATGTAAGGTAAATAATGTATTTAGCATGAAGCATGAATTATTTTCATATAAATATAGATCCTAGAAAAAAAGGCTTTGCCTCTAATTTTTATGCCCATAGGCCTAGATGGTTTTGTTGTTTTGTGTTTTTTATCGTTACTTTTTCCTCTCGTTGTTGTTTTGAAGCAGGCTTTTAAAGGTACACCTTCAGGGACATTCGTTGACTGTTGGGAACCGTCTCTGCAATATGAAGACTTTAAATTTCGACTAGGGCTGGGGAGGTTCACGAAACTGCCCCGTCTTGCTCGCTTTTCACCCTCCTCCGCCGTCCCGGGGGGGAGGGGGGGCGCTGTTTTCGGCCTGCGTGCGTGTGGAGTGTCCCCATGGCCTGCCTGCACTCTGCTCATGTCTCCATGTCGAGGCGACATCCGTGTTTCGTGGTCTTCCTGTTCCTCTCATCCGTGCCACTTCAGACCATGTGCGCCTGTAGCACTTCAGGTCCCAGTATTACTTCCTGTCAGGTAGCAGCGCGTGACGCGATTCTGCCGAGTGGCGTCTGGGCGACCCGTGGGCCGGAGCCCGCTGAAACGTGCGCTCCATTTCCGTGTTTAAGGTGCAGTGCCAAAGCCTGTAATCCTTGTCACGTTGTAGCATCGGTGTCATCCCTGTGAGGACACGTCCTGCTTTTCTCATGAAAGCGTCAGATTTTCCAAACCAGTATCCGTCCCGTCTGTTGACGGTGTCCCACCTTTTGCGGAAGGTAGAGAAAGTGGTTGTGGGTTCCTCACCACCTTCTTGCTTCTTCTGCTAAAAACCCCTTGACTGTCAGAAGATGCCCCCGGTGTTTTCTCGACCTTCTCGCGCTCTAAGAGTCGAACTCTGGTCCCGGGAGAGCAGGTGGGGCAAACTGGGGTCAAACTGGGCGTGCTGGAGGTAAATGTCGGGTTCTGATGCGGCGTTTGCTGTCAGGACGCTCCTCACATACACACGCCTGACTGTATGTAGCAGCCATTACATGTTTATCCTGTTCACTGCCTTGTATCATGTTCCAACTCGCGAAACTCGTTTCTTCATTCACGTGGTAGAAAACGGGTTCGAGTTTGAGAGACTAACTGTATATACTTGTTTTTTTTAAAGAGGCCAGTTTCTTTACTCACTCTCTTTTAAGAGGTAACTCGTTTAAGGGGTTTCAGAAAGGAGAAGGCAGTGGTTGGTTTTGCTTGGTTGTTCGTTAATCAAACACGGTCTGGAGGCATGTAGACGGCCTGCGTCTCACCTGCATTCTATAATTCCTTGATGTGTGACCATATTGCCAAAGACAAACCCTTTCATCAGTTAATGTAAATATAACTTTGTCCATTACTATGACAAAAAAAGAGTTCTTGTTTTTATTTTTCTGAAACCTACCATGAAGTTTCTGTGATGTATTGTCTTCCAGTTGCAATAAAAAGACCAAGTTGCAGAAGTCCATCATGGTGCATGTTCTTCATTGACCGTGTGTTCATTCGCTCCAGCTTTTTCCAGAGTTTTCCGATGGTCATGGATATCACAAACCGGACCTGGTCCTGACGCCATGGTTGGGGCGTGGGGCTCCAAGCCAGAGATGCAACGCATTCTGAAATTCACTGTCCGCTTACAACATCCATATCACCTAGATTCTTGACACGCCAGTCCGTTTATAACCATGATGCGCATCTTAATAACAACTCCAGACAACAGTACCACACACTTCCTTAATTCTGTTGCTATGCAACAGAAACAGGGAGGACACGTGACCCACACGTAGGATGCGGCTTGTGTGCATGATTCTGTGTGCACTCGTATTCCAGTAACCTTGACTGTCACATGCGATCAGGTGAGGGTGTCTAACCAGGTATGAATGATGATGTTGAAGAAAATATTACCTGTCTTCGTGCTCAGCAGCATTTGGGAAATGTCTGGTCTCTCTGCACTGACTTCTGGCTTGTTTAACTAGGCACATGATGTGCACAGTTTTGTCACGTTTCCTGTATCCCCCTGTGCTCTTTGTCCTAAACCAGCTCAGTGCAGGTTCCTGTGTGGGAGTGAGTTATGTCTTCATACAGGTGCCACTGTACACCTGCAGTACAGCCCAAATCAGAAGACCGTTGATTGGGGCACTGACCAAGCTCGTCAGTAAGGTGCACTACTTTTTCAGCTTGGAAAACACCAACTTGTCTTCTCATCTCATTCTTTCTTGTTTGTCCTGGTCTTCAGCCTTGTGAGGGACCTCCTAAAAGCATGTTTTCAGAGAGCATGGAGTACCATCAGCCTCTGGTGAGTTGGGAGGAGGCCGACCTGGCCGGGGGACCGCTGAGCCAGGTTTCCATGGCAGCCTGGGATCAGGGGTGTTGCTGACCTGCGCAGATCGATAGCAGAGCTCTGTGAGATGATGACCCTCCAAATACACAGCAGACTGGTGTTAATTTGTCCCATTTCTGTCAAACCAGATATGAGCCTGCCGCAGATTGCTGGCCTTATTCTTCAGACTTTGCAGCACAAGTGAGTTCATCTCTTTTGTGAGGATAATTCACTGGGGGGGGGGTTAAGAAATACTGGAATGTACATTGTGGGCTCCACAGGAATGTGCAGGATCCTCACTCTGTAGAGTAGCTCTGTGGAGAGCCCGGGTTCTACTGTCCCAGTGGTGGTTCTAGCTTGTATGGCAGCCTGTGAATACCCACCTTCCACCCCCCCAGCTGGCAACAAAAATTGTGCATCTCCTACCCCCTGCCAAAAAAAAAAAGACCCATTTGCATTTTAATTAAGATATTTGGAATGATACAAATAAATGATCAAATTAAAAATAATTTTGACTAATTGCATGAGTACTGTGTGAAGTTAGGGATGCATTATTTGATAGACTCCCTTGCTCCCCCGGCCTCGGGCTTCCAGTGATGCGACCTGAGCTCACCCCAGCCCCGCCCCCTCCCCATCTCGAACATCTGAGTGGTCGCCTGCCCAGATCACAAGTTAGAATCGGGGCACCCACATGGTGGGGTGATATCGCTGACGTGATGTGAAAATGAGAAATAGGAAACCAGTCGGGTAAATGCCACCATACCGATTTTTTGGTCGGCTGCCCATGTCTCCTATGCCTAAATCCGCCAGTGTACTGCCCAGCGGTTCCAGGTCATGGAGAGTGCCACATTTTATACCCCCAAGGCCGTGCTTAAATGATGGTTTGGCCTGGCTGGTCCGCAGACCTGGATTTGTGTTCGATAAGCATGGGCGTGGTGGCGTGTGGGTATTCCCGTCGTGTGCACTCCCAATCCCACCTCTGCTCCCCCCCCCCCCCCGTCATCCGATCTGCTGAGAGACTCCCTCCGCGAGTCACATCGCTCTTCACCTCTGTGAATCAGCCTGCAGTAAAATTAATGTTCGGTGACGGAGCCTCCCACTGTAGCCGCCACACATCGCTTTTACCATGGTAACACCCTTTATCTCTCATTAGGCATTTTCCTGCAGCACCTAAGGAAGCCAGTCCAATAGGGGGGACACCACTATCCCTGGGGGGCTGCTGACTAGATGGGTCTCAGGCTTCCCAGACACCTCGATTTTGTGCCGAATGAGAAGCTCCATACCTCATCTTTCCTTCTCAAAATGGGAGATACAGCTGTACAGGCTGTAAGCCAACTGCCATTGTCAAATTGGGTTGAAGTTGAGGACTTTTGGACCTTGGGCAGGTTTGATTTTGCACAAGATTGCTCGGTGCACTGTGCACAGTGATGATCTGCATAGGGACTGCAACTTGCACGAATCATCATCACACACATGCAGAAGAAAGTCATATCTCATCAGTAGCCAGTAAGGTCATGTCGTTCTAAAGAAAGAGAAGACATTAGTTTGGATAAACTTCTAAATAATGGCACAGTGACACTAAAAATATCCTTGCACCTGGGTTATGTTACCTTCCATACAATGTCTGACAATATCGGGACGGTGTTTGTGTGCGTTAAACACACCAGGCGTCTCTCATGCCGTGGAATAGCCGGTTTTTCCCATTTCATGAGCTCTCCTGCCATCTACTGGTAGGAAACACGTAATTACCCGTCTGCCCATTCAATACTGGGATTTGAATGGTATTTTAAACACTGCACTCTCGTATTGTTTATATATATAAAATATAAACAAGCATGTTCATTCAGATATTAGCAAAACGGTAATGAGTTACTCATGTATGTATTTTTCCTTGTTATCTAATTTTGTCGTGCCAACCGACTGTCCTATTTTTAATCAATGGAGGTTTAGTCACCGTGAAATGTTAATAGAGATTCGGATTATGGGTTTTATAATTACATACTTGGTGATCACACTATTTAATTGGATCGCCGTGTTACACTCTCCCCGCAATTTGTTACACTTCCAGCTGGTGGCGATAGAGACCATGCCCGCCTGGGGCTTAACCAGCGCACTGCGCTCTCAAATCCCAGTTTTGTTGACAAGTTCAGCCCCACCTCCAGCTACTTGATATAAAAGTTACGGGAATAACTGAAGAAATTACGGGCGGCCTGGGTGTGGATGACAAGTGTCGTTTATGGTATTAATCCGAATTGAAGTTTTTCTGGATTTGTTTTATAAATACAGTATCGGGCTGGTTAGAGTGTCTTGTAAGCTCGCTGATGTGAAGATTTTGTCAGAGCAACCTGCCCGGGCACATTAGTGTCACACGTCAGGCTGTAGGACTAAGCTGTTCGCTATAGCGCTGCAGTGTCCGCCGTGCACCCAGCCTTCTCCGGAATACCGGTCATGCAGCCGTAACACCAAACTGGGCTTCGGTGGACCAACGATCTGAGCCAGAATCAGTCGGGCAGGGGAAGTGCCTGCCTGCCGATGCCTAGCCGGCCTCGGTGCCCCTAGTGCGGCCGTACGGTGCGGGACCTGGCGCTCTCCCGGAGCTCACATGCGGAGGGTGCTGCATTTCTCGGAAGCGGTGGAGCCGAAAGCGCCTTATATCGCCCGAGGTATTTACGATCGCCTCAAAACGTGTTGCGGATTTTCATCGCTATTGTTAGGCAAAAATTCGCACGTTTATCCGGCATCCAGGAACATTTAATCGCGTAACATACCTGCGTGTTTTTCAATCGGTAACGAATTACAAACCAGGAAACTCGAGGGAAATGTGCGTACGGTCATAACTTTAACTTGGTCCTGCGGCGAGGTACATGCACGAGTACAGGCTGTATTCCTGCATCGGACAAGCCGGTATCAAAAATGGATGGATGGATTTGTTCCGTATTACCTGTGGACGTCGGGCGCCTGCGATGCCGTGACGTGGGAGTTGGGTGATCGGGAGGGGAGACTTACGGTAAGGGTGTCACAGTTTCATTATGATACTCGGGGTAGGATTGCGTCACTACTGGTCAAAGTGTGATTAGTCTCAAGAACTTGGTTGAATTTTGTTTAATATGCTATAAGACTAGTGCGCTAAACTCTAAACAGAAGGTGTCTAAATATTGACACATGGAAGCATATCTGTAGGCAACGCCTTTGTGTGAATTCGGGTGGATCTGTACTTTGCCTAGGTTAAATATGTGTCAAAAATGCCGACGTTTCTGCACAGCCCTGCGAAGCACAGGGGTAGCCCTTAAGATTAATGGATAGGTGTGTGTGGTGTTCCTCCTACTACTGTTTCTTGGTGCTCAGTCAGGGTTAGGGTGATGTCAGAGGTGTCCACCAACTGAGATTGCTGCTGCTACATGGTGTGACCACATGTTGAGGTGTTAACTTGTATTGCTTGAAGGTGAGAGGAGAGAGTCTGTTTGTGCTCCTTGAGTGGACTGTTCAGCTGTTTCCCTCCACATGGTAGGGATGTGGGGGCTACTCTTGGGAGGGGAGGGGGGGGTTCTTTGGCTGAGACTGGGATTCTATTTGTGTTTAGCAATGGTCTCACACCGTCCACGGTTTGCTCTGTTTCAGAGTCACAGCTTGGACTGGTCCCAGCAGTACACAGTCCGCCTGTATTCTCTTTGGCCGCGTTAACGTCCTGTTCAATTCCTCCTCTGTTTTTCGGGTTCGAGCCAGCCACAAGCCCGTGTGGACCCTCGTCGACACACCCCTCAGCATTAGAGGTCTGTCTCTTCAGCTGACAGTTTACCATCTGGCTCTTTGTAGCGGGATCTTGAGCTGTATATGTGAGAAGCTTGACAAAATACGAGCTGTATCCTAGTAAGACTGCTGATTTGGCCCTTGGGGGGGAGGGAGAGGGGGTGTGTGGAGATGTGAGCTTTCATTATGTGTTTTCAGCCTTGTTTTTTTAATTTGAGTGAGTTCTTTACCTAATGTGTGTTCAGGGTGACTTGTGTAGCTCTGTGCTTAGTGTTTACCCAGGTGGGGGCTCGTGCTCTCCCACCCATCCCCCCACTGCACTGATCTAAGTCACCTGAATGACTAAGTCACCCTAACCTAGTGTTACTGCTGCTTAATATTAAGGAAGCTGATACCCAATCAGTGTTGGGCTCAACAAGATGTAAGAGCTCATTGCACTCCTATGGGAAAAGGAGCACACGAGGAGCGTGCTTCTCCACAGGAGAGGAGGAGCACAGTACTGATCGACTGTCAGATGGCTAGGTTACCTGCAGAGTCCAGATGGCGCTTTCCTTTGGCCACCAGTGAGAATGGACCGATAGGGGGTTCTGGCAGTGTGTCCACCAGATCAGGGCTGTGGGCTACAGCCTCGGTCTGAACCACCTGCAGGGCCTGTCTGGAGGGGGGGGACGACAGTCAGACTGCAGCTGAGAATGATCCTGTCTTTGTCCAGAACATTTCAGAAGGTATTCCCTGATCATTAACATAATTTTAGCTGCTGTTAATCCCTCTTTAAGTTCCACCAGTTGCCTGGTGGAAAGTCAGTATATCGATTTTACGCTGTTTTTGAGAATGACAGTTAAATGCAGAGCCTAAGGCCCTATGTGTTAACAGTGTTTCACAAACATGCACATGGTCATTGTGGTAATAGGGGTGACAGCATTACTGCCTTGACAAGGAGTCGGTGACAATTAGAAGACAGGAAAGAGTGAAATCTATAAAAATGCAGGCACTCTGGCCACTGTCGGTTTCCAGTTCTGCGGCGTGTTCTGCCCCTGTGCCCGCAGAGATAAAGTCCACGGCGTGAGCCTGTGGAAACCCGGTGAATATACACTGGCTTTCATTAAAGCAAACTGCAGATGTGGCACGTCCTCTTGTTCATAGAAAAACACGACATGCGTCCATCTTGAATATTGGAATTATACAAAGAGCGTGCGGAAGAATCTCATGCCTGGTGTCGAAGTGTTAATGCAGACCTAGCTTTAAATTCGGTAAATGCGGTTCTTGGGCGTGTTGTGTCATGAGGAAAGCTCTCTCGATCCTAGATGAAGGTATGATTAGTGTGATCCGGGTCTGTGACTTGGGGATGAGAGACAGTTTGTCATAGCAGGGTTTTGAAAGACAGGGACCGCTTCCTTTTCGGATCCTGTGCTTCCTGCCAGCTCGCCCTGGTGTAGGGGCACTTCCATTGTTCTTTATTTAGACATGGAAAACGAGGCGGCTCTTCATCCGTTCTTGTAGGTATAGAGTGATGCATAGAGAAATGGTGCCGGGTTCGGCCTAAGCACGCAGTGCGTGGATCGTGTTTGACGGCTCCATGCCACCCAGGTGCTCCTGGCGGTCCAGTTGACGTGCTGTTTGCATTTATCATCGTCCTGCGTGGCGGCGCAAGGCTCAGTGCACTGCGGTGTGGTGGCAGCTTCCTGTTGCCACGACGAGCCAGATCCTCCCACTGAACATGCTGCTCCGTGACTGAAGATGAAGTCATCGGCGTGGTGGGAGTGGGACTGTGGGGCCTGTCACATGGCCAGTCACATGGCCTGTCACATGGCCTGTCACATGGCCTGTCACACAGTGCATAGGCTCTCATGGGCTTTGTGGATTCTTGGTCTCCTTATCTAGGAGTAGATTGCATCCAGCCGAGGCTGTTTCAGGCTTCATCTTCTTTCAGGGACAGCATATCCTGCCTGAAAGTGGTTCTATCCTGAGTGTATTGGGTCACAGACTGACCCAGCTATCCATTCGACTTAAGTAAGGAGTCTATGGGTTGTGAGTTCCCCCCCCCCTATTGGTGCTGGAGGAATGGCTCACTGTAGTGGGTCTCCTTTATCTGTCATGTTCTTCTCCATGTGCTCAGGTTCTCCAGCTACACACTGCGCCTGAACTGTCGTCCCTGAGTTTATACGCCGCCCCTCCCTCGCTGTTTCCATGGCGGCCCCCAGCAGTCTCTCCACACCCCGACCTGGCTGGGTGGTGTTTACAGACGACGACCCCAGCCCTCCCGGCCTGGAGCCCCACCCAGGTATGGCCCCGGGGCTCAGTTACCCGACACACCTGCAGCAGTATCGGCCTGTCACGCATGGTATTGCTCTAGACGTTCAGACTTTGCTCTCTTCCCCCATTATGGCAAGTTTCCTGCCTCAGGAAATGAATGCAGTGAACGTGAGTGGGAGAAAAGGGCCAAGCTGGATTTCCTTTCAAGTCCTTTGTGTATTCAAGGCTGGGACATGTGACGGTGACACTCCTGAAATGACACGCGGCTTCCCAGGACAGACCCGTTCTCTTTTCCATACAATCGATCTCCCCGTGTCTCTGTGATACGGCTGGGGACATGATGGTGCCCGTCAGAATATCTTAGCAGTTTGGACTGTGGAAATAATACTGCAAATATATTGGCAACAGAAAGTCCAAGAGATTATTTTTAGACACTGCGTCTTTGCAGCACTGAAGCTGGCGAGATGAATGACTGTGTTATTAATGGTGTTATTAATGGTGTCCTGTTTGTGCCCTTTGACCTTTTCAGACGGTGGTGGCAGTGTAGTGAACCCCCGCCCTGCTGAAGCGCCGTACCTCATACATGGGGGCAGGACTTCAGTGGGTGTGTCCACACGGCAGACTGTCTGGGCCCAGTTTGAGGATAGGCCTACGACCCAAACTGTTCCTTCACAACTACAAGTGAAAGGTGAGACATTATCAGAATACCATGGGAACACAAAATGATTCCGTCTGCGACCTCCAGTGGGCCCAGCTTATACCCCAGTGGTGTCTTAAAACCAGGTGTTTTCTGCTTGTTATAAACATAACAGAGAGTCATAGTTGTCAGCACAGATGGTGTTGTCCTTCACATGGTCTCAGGAACCTCTTGAGCAACCACACAGGTACCTTGGGACTCAAAGTATTCAAGGATTCAAAAAGTTTATTGTCATTTGTACTGGTCCAATCATTGACTACAATGAGATGTTTACTTGCATGGTTTCTACTACAGACTGGGTAATAAGACATAGGACAAACACGTAGGACAAAGGACAAACACGTAGGACAAAGGACAAACACGTAGGACATAGGGCAAACACGTAGGACATAGGGCAATAACAGGACATAGGGCAATAAGGCAGGCAAAATAAATATGTGTAAATATGAATATGTCAGTATAAGTATGGATATGGCGATATAGATGCATCTGGAAGAATAAATGTGGCATGTGTACAATATACATGCATAGCAGCAGACATTTCGTGCAGAAATTGTGCAAAGCCAGAAATACTAGAGGTTCAGGGTTGTAAGGGAAGTTCTGGGAGATGTATCTGCGAGCAAGCTGTGGTCATCTTTTGTCCAGGACCCAAGCAACTACGCTGCAGGGTGATAACAACACCTCCCATCTCTACTCACAGTTAGAGAGGCAGAGAGTACATTGTTGCCATGGCGATCTCAATAAACTGCGTCGCTAGTCAGTCAGCTGAGGTGGGTGCGTGCTGTCATGGTTTTAGAAGGAGTTTGGGAGATGGGACAGTGAAGAACATGCTGGAGGAACTCGGTGTGGATGTTCATGGATGTTCATGCTGTCCTGCCTGACTGGCTTGGAGCTTGGTTATGGATTATAGTCATGTAGTTCTTTCCGCCGGCCACACCCTGAGTAATCTTGGTGTTGACTTTTAGTTGACGGTTCTTTATGTGAAGCTCTTCTGTGTAACACAAGCCTCGGTTCGCTGCGGACTGAATGACACAGCAGGGCTGAACATGAATCGGACTCCATGATAAACAGCAATTTGGGCAGGTTTCTCATACCTCGCCAGTGTCTGTTGCTGTTTGGGGACGATGGCTGACAGATGGCTCAGCAGCCGGAACTGTGTGTATCAGAGAGCTGATTGATCTCATGGCATCTCGATGAGGTTGACTCCGCCTCACCTCACATGCCCTACTTATTGGATTCTTGTCCTATGTCCTCCGCCAACCCTGTGGGAGGCAGCTCCGTCTCACTTTACTCCACCCCCCCAGGCACCCGGCACAGCGTGTGCTCCTCACCCAGCTTCTGGAGCAGCGACCCCCCTTCAGAGAGCAGTGGGACGAGCCAGTCAGAAGAGCACAGTTCGCTGGGAGACCTCCCCCCCCTGCCTAGCCAGACATCCTCCCTCACACACTCGCCCAGTGAGTACCCCCCCCCCCCCCCCATTCACTCACACACTTTCCCTCCTTCCTTTGGTAAGAGTCTCTCTCTGCTACACAAAGACCGTCACTGTGCACCTGGTGAAGGAGTTCATCTGGCTTCGTGGGCGGTAAACTTAGCACATGACAATCCCGGCAGACCGGCTCCCAGTGGCTCAGGGGAGGTGGCTTCGCCCGCAGGAGGTGCTGAAAAACCCAGGGGAGCTGCGTGGGCAGGGAGGTGAAGGGCCGAAGCGGAGGAACCAACATGCTGATTAAGGGTGTACTCACACTGTCCGATCCGTAGCGTGCCTGAGCATGTTTGACTGGTGTGATTGCTCCTCCCATACCCCGGCACAGCATGCTTAGCCATGCCTGGGCCCGCTTGATGAGGTGGGCTGGAGCACAGTTAGTCGGACTCGGGCACGGTAAGCATCTAGTGTAATTGCTAACCCTGCCTGAGTATGGAACACTTAAATGGCGTCAGTGGTGAGACTGACACAGGCATACGCACATACGCCATACCTGAACTGAACCTGGAAGGAGGCTGTGCAGATCGTGTCATTTTTTTTCTCAAAACTGTGTTGCAAAAAAAAAAAAAATGACGCATTCAGATTGGGTAGCGAGAATCACTTCACAAGCATGGCAGCCAAGGATCACTTTGGTCTATGGTATTGTTGGTCTATGGTATTGTTGGTCTATGGTTTTGTTGTCACTATACCAAACTTATGACCCAATTCTGGTACCACTTTAAGTATCACGATACCAGTACTGCAAGGATAACAATTCAGGAAAAACTTTTGTTCATGATAAATTACGCACTTATTTATCAAAAAGTACATTTAAATTGTTACTCTTTTAATTTTAATAAACTAAGCGTCACTCCACTCTAGCATGTCTTTATATTGCCAAGCATCGCATTATGATCGCCCGATTCATTCAGTTATAAGAAGACTGATGATACGTTCTAATAAATGTATACAGCGTATATCCACCCTGATTGTTGTGCACTTCTGCCTTATTATAAAAATGCACGCGGAGGAAAAGGCGCTTTGCCGCCGCACCAGGTACCTTACTTTTGATACGGTACTTTTGTATTTTCCCATTTCTATTGAGTTCTGGTCGAGTACCAGTACCCAAAGTGCCAAACCAGCTGGGGTACTTTTTTGGTACTTCAGTACTCAATCAATCAATCAATCAATCAATTAATCAAAATACTTTATTAATCCCTGAGGAAATTATGTGGTTACAGTTGCTCCTCCAGGACAGTAAGAAAGTAGTCAACAAGTTAAAATACCAATATTAAATAATACAATATATTACAAATTGCAAAATATTACAAATAGCTCTAATAATGCAATAATTCAATATATAAATAAACAAATATATTGCAGAAATTAACTATAGATAAAGTTTAATTGAGGTTCTCCAATTATCATACGGCCTTTGTTATGTTAAGGGTGTAAATACAGTGTTGCTGTGCATACCTGTGCTTAGATGGAGGAGTTGTACAGAGAGAGAGCCACAGGCAGGAATGATTTCCTGTGTCGTTCAGTGGTGCATCTAGGTAGTCTTAGTCTCTCACTGAACATGCTACTGTGACTGGCCAGCACGTCACAGAGTGGGTGGGAGATATTGCCCAGCATTGTCCTGAACTTGGACGACATCCGCCTCTCCGACAGCTTTGGAGGGTCCAGCTCCATCCCCACAACATCACTGGCCTTGCAGATCAGTCTGCTGGCATCCGCTCCTCAGCCCGCTGCCCCAGCATGCAGCAGCGTAGAGTATGACACTGGCCACAACAGGCTCATAGAAAATCCTGAGCATTGTCCGACAGATGTTAAAAGACCTCAGCCGCCGCAGAAAACAGAGACGGCTCTGGCCCTTCTTGCACAGTGCAGTTGTGCAGTGCACTATGTCCACATCGACCCCTTGAATTGAAACAGGGGTCACTGGTTTCCTGGTCTACTTTGGGGTGGGACTTGCAAATGTGTTTATTTTCGATTCGTTATGCAAATAGCCTGCTTCTGAAACACAATACAACCGGCATCTTGAAAAAAGTTACAAACTCAGAAAACAATGATAAACGAAGTAAAAAAATAATAATAATGTATTCATGAACAAATGAAGGAGCCCGAGCTTTAATTCCAATCTGGTGAGAAGAACCAGAAGATGATCTGTATGAGGTTTGGGGTTGAGGGTGTGGTTCCATCAGAACCTGCCCCCCCCCCCCCCCCTTTTTCTCGTGTTTTCTGCGGCCTGAGAACCCAGCAGCTGTGCTGCGGTCCCCTCTGAGATGATGTCATCAAGTGAGTCTCAGGCCTGTAGGCTGGCCCAGTGTTTGTGCTGGAAGCAGTAAGACCTCAGGGTGTTGTCATCAGGCCTGTTGTGTCAGAAGGAGGAACCATGCCTGTTCGCAGACAGCGGTCCAGGCCGGGCCTGCGGAAGCCGGACTGATGGTGCTGTTAAACGGACATGGCAGCTGGTGCTGGATCTGAGTTCCAGCCTGCCAGGGCGTGCGGTCCTGAGCTGTCAGTCATCGCTGGCAGGAAAATCAAGCGGCTGTGGGACCTGGTGGCTCTGAGCTTGTTCATTAAAACCCCCATGAGTCGCTGAGAAGATCTGCTCCCTACGGTCACATGCCATGTCCTGGTAGGCCAGCAGACTTGTGGATCGGTCGTGCAGCCCTGCAGTACGGCTGTCGCAATGTTTATCGAAGGGTGACCCCCTGCTGACCCCCGCCCCCAGCCCAGAACCGCACCTGTGCTGTCAGTTAAAGGCCGCTGCCCCCCGTCACACGTCTCGACGGCCAGCTCCTGTCTTCATGTTCTCAGCTGGGCCTGTTTTGGTGTCGGCTTGTAGCCGCAGCCCTGGCAAAGGGTCAGGAACTTGAAAAGTAGTTTTTAAGGGATTCTCTCAGGAAACCGAAAAAGAGTTCAGTCACTGTCGCGGTAACATGGACAGAGGCTTTAATGTGGGACATCGTCTTGAGTGATGGTTTAAGGAGGAGCCTGTCAGTCTGTTAGCATCTTTCCATCATCCTCTGGCCCGTGTGAACTTACACTTGACCTCATTAATCGTGTCACAGTAGCCTAGTCTGATTATAAATTCCAGTTAGTGTTGTTACTGGGAAGCCCTCCAGAAACCCCTCTCACCTCGTAATACCAGCCCCCCCATAGTTTGTTTTTCCAGTGACTTCTTTAGCCTCCCCCCTCCACCCCCCACACCCTTGAGCTCCCTTGCTTTCTGTCTCTCGCCGAGCTCCCCTGCTGGGAGGCCATGCTGGTCAGGATCGGGGCTGGTAGCAGACAGGCATTGACATGTCCCTGCTCAGCAATGCAGGGCGCTGAGTCAGTCACATGACCCCCCTCCAGCACCGTGGTGCTGGGGCACTCTGTCCAAGTCTTGACGGGGGGAAGCCCGCCATCTGCTTTCAGTGAGCCGGGGGGCCCAAAGCTGCTCAAATTCGATTCATGTTTGGGGATCATGGGGTAGGGTTTTGTGGGGAGGCATGACCGGACCAGTGCCTGGACCAGAGCTGTAGATGTAGTGGGGGATGGAGTGGGCAGGACACCCAGTTTGAATGGGACGTCTGGTCCCTCAGAGGGGCTGCTGAATGGACAGCTCCTCTGTTTGCAGACTTTTTGTATTCAGACACAGCCCACAGCTTCTGATAGACTCCCGACGGCCGTCGACATTTAAAGCAAGTCATGCGTTTGAAATCTCTCTGTGTTTTTACTGCAGCGCCATCCTGTGTGGACACGACTCAACCGGCAACATGAGGTTGTGAGTTTATGAGACATTTACAGCTTTTCGAGTTCCCCCCGCCCCGAGCCATCCTGTTCATTTGATGCGTTTTGCTCTGAATGGAGACAGTGAGCGAGTCAGACGGACGCCCAACGTGTCTCTGCTTGCGGCTCGGGTCTGGGCCGGGCCCCGCTCGCCCCAGTCACACTAATCTTTGGTTTTTTTCTTTTTAAGTCTGTCCCTCTGGAGAGAAGGCGGTGCCTAGCAACATGCTCATTTTGTCTTTATTTTTTTCCCTGGGTGGCTCGTAAATTGGTGTGGCTGGCCCATTTGAAAGCTCTCCCCTCCCCAATGAAACACAGCAGCCTGATGTCAGTGGGTGGGGGCGCTTCAGCCAGCGGAGGTCAGGATGAACAACAAGTGCAGGCTCTGCTGCTCCGTTCCCACACCATGGCTGCAAAGACGGCAGCTTCCTCAACCCTGGACTTTCGCAACGTGTCAGGGCCTCCTTTTGGACGGCGGTAGCGACATGTTCTGTGGTCGGCGTATCGCTGACATCCTGTTTTCCCCTGGCTGATTAACAAACGGTGACGCTCATGGATGGAGAAGGTTATTCATGAGAGCTCACGAGTGTTTCCTTGGTAAGATCTAGGAAATCTGTTATTCTCGAGAAGAATTGCCATTTAGAATTCTGGGAGAATTCTGCCATTTAGGATTCTGGGAGGAGTCTGCAGAGAGTGCAAAACCTCATGTCTCGACAGAGCAGAGAGTAAAGCACAGCTGAATGCATGTTTGGATCACAAACAGTGTGTTGGAAGTGTATGAGAAAGGTGACATCTCCCCCCAGTAAGCCACAGAGATGTGGCTGTCTCCAGCCGCTTGGCGTCGCGTGACCTGAATATTAATGCCTGGCCTTTCTGTTCCTCTTTGTGAACGTGCCAGAAGCTAATGCTTGTGTGGACCGTGAGAGTCGTCCGTTGTGCTGAATCCGCGCGGCTCGGCCCTGCTTCAAGCTGCCCGTCTCTGCCCCTTTTGTTCCTGTCCTGGCAGTGAATTCATGTCATGCTTTGTTGCCAGGGCGGGAGATCTCGCGGCCGAGCTGCGGAATGCCGGTGCCTAGCAACAGGTGAAGATGTTTCCCCTCCATTGGTAAAAAGCATTAAATTCAAATGAAGGAACGAGCAGATCTCGCACTAGAGAACAAGGGTGTTTTCGCAGGGGGATCGGGTGAAAACTCCCAATCCTTTTTAAGATGAAGCCACATGTGTAACATGCAGACCTTGTAATTATGTCTGTGATATGACAGGGCACCCTAAGGAATAAATGAGCCACATTCGTTCAGAGGAATATGAAGAGCTTTTCCTGTCTGCTCAAGGACTGATTGCGGAGACTTTTTAGTTTTGTGAGATTACTTGTCTGTGAAACAGACCTGCACCCTGTTACAGTGGACAGGAGGCAGGCTGGTATTAGGACACATTATTGGATGTTGTGTTTCTGAGTAAAGCTTAACACTAATGTGCTTACCTCCCACATATTGTTGAAAGGATCTCTTTAGTCAGCGAAAAATCTGCACTAGGCGCCAGAACCAAAATGAACTGTGCCTTGGTCTGGTTCATGTGTCGCATAGGCAGTCTGTGTGCGCCACACCCTGCCCGGCAGAGGGGGGGTGGGGGACAACCTGCAAACACAGCAAGTGGTGGCTGGGGGGCACCCGAGCATATAAGGAGAATAGTATGAATTTTTATTTTTAGTTCCCAATGAAAATTGTTATTCTCCATGTTTGTTTATAGCAGTTTCTAATATGCTCATGTGTTTGATTTGTAGACTCTTCCATCTTCCAAGACGAGGGCATAGACATGGAATCACAGAACTGGCCGCCGGCCCCCAAGCACGTGAACGGCCAATCGGAGAGCCACGTGGCCCGTATCGCCAGCTGGGTGACCTTCGATGATGACGACGGACCGATTTTCTGTTGGCCTGGCGGCCTGCCGCAGTCCAGCCATGACGACGGCTCCATGCCGGATGTCGATGGGAACCCCGTAGCCTCTCCCCCTTCTGTCCAGACCCGAGATGCAAAACGGCATCTCCTGGACCTGACACCGGAAGGAGTCCACCCTCTCTTTGCCTTGGGCGGTCCCCCGTTGAGCATTGGCATGCCCAGCATGAAGAACCCCTTCCTGGACGAGGGTCTGTCACATATGCAGCCATCTCCTATCAACCCTTTCATTGACTTTTTCCAGGAGCAAGTAGAAGCCAAGGTGACACCAAACAACGGCTGCTATCCAGAGAACACCCAGCAGTCCTGCACCTTTCCTCCGGTCCCTCCTGGCACCGCAGATATTAAAAGGGAATCCCTGTTGCCCCTGTCGACTGAGCTGGACACCCCAGCTAGAGGAGGTGTCCTGCCCTGGCCCCCCTCTGAGAAAGGTGGGCAAAGCTTGTGGATGGCAGAATCAGATCAGCAGGAGAGCGTCCTGCTGCTGGACGATCCTGTGGAGCCCGGGGAGCTGGAGGAGCTGCCCTATCAGCCGGGCCACATGACCCCACGGGATGGCTGGCCCATGATGCTGCGCATCCCAGAGAAAAAGAACATCATGTCGTCTCGGCACTGGGGGCCCATCTTTGTGAAGATGTCTGACGCCGGGCGGCTGCAGCTCTTCTATGAGAAGGGCCTGGAGAAGCCCTTCAAGGAGTTTCAGCTAGAAGGCCGACACGAGATCTCCGAGCACAAGCTTCAGAGCTACAACGAGAATGACCGGGTGCATACTGTCAGCATCGATCACGTCACCTACAAAGAGAAACGCAAGATCCAGTCCAAGGTAGCCGTGGTGCACACTCCTGCCAAGGATCAGCTGGTGAAACTAGGCACCGTCGACTATTCAGACTTCCTGAGCTTCACCCATGCCCTGAGGGATGTGCTGATGCTGCTGCCTGTGGAACAAGAGTCTCCAAGCAGTTCCCCATCCTACCAGGAGGAAGAGGTCTTGGTGGATGTACGAGATGAGTTCCATGGTGTTGTGTCCAAGTGCGATGGCAGGATCATGCAGCAGCTGGTGATGACCCACATTTATGTGCTGCCGTTTGTGTCGGGGTCACCGGCCTGCAAGATTGGCCTCAACGACGTCCAGGTGAAGGGGAACGAGGTGGTATCCCTGCATGACATCATCCCCAACACCACCACACGCTGGATCCGACTGCGAGACTGCCAGCTGCACAGTAGCGCAGACAAGCAAGAGTTCACCCGCAACAGAACGATCTCCTTCACACCCCCGGCAGGACGCAGATTCGAGCTGCTCCGTTTCTGTTCACTCTTTGCGGAGAAGAGCCTGCCCTTCACTCTGAGGACGGTGGCCAGCGTCAGGGGCGCGGAGGTAGAGCTGCAGTCCTGGCTGGCAATGTCAACTGGATTCTCCTCCAACCGGGATCCCCTCACTTTGATCCCCTGTGAGAATGTGATGATCCGCTATCCCATCCCCCAGCTCTGGGCCAAGAATTTCAGGCGGGAAAGCCTGGTGGGCGAGAAGTCTCTGAAGGCTCGCTTCAACAAGGGGGCCAACTTTGGGTCCACCATCACATCAGGGCAGGAGCCAGCCATGCGGGTCACGATGGGGACGGCCAAATATGAGCACGCCTTCAGGGCTGTGGTGTGGAGGATAAACTCTCTCCCTGATAAAAATTCAGGTAGGGCAGAAGAACCAGTTCTGCTAAGATCATGCTGATCACCCTGTTTACTTACCACATTGGTCTGTCTTCATGAAGTCACCAGTAGTGTTCAAGGTTACAATGCTGTGTGCTTAAAATCAGAGGATACGTGTGAAAATGCAAGACGGTCACCAGACCCCTGCGACCCTGGTTAGGATAAGTGGGTACAGAAAATGGATGGTTTGTTGTGATTTTTTTTTTATGAATGAAGTAGTGACAAGGATGTATTGTGTTACTGATGGAGCAAGAAGGAGAAGAGCAGTCTACCCTGAACCTGTTCTGATCTCCAGTTTCTCATGAATTACTGCCTCGTGAGTTTTTACTTCCAAGTCAATGGGCCAAGGCCTCTGTTGTGTGATTAGACAGGCAAAGGGCCAGCGTCTAGTGCAGGGGTGGGCAATCTTACCCGCAAAGGGCCAGCGTCTAGTGCAGAGGTGGGCAATCATACCCGCAAAGGGCCAGCGTCTAGTGCAGGGGTGGGCAATCTTACCCGCAAAGGGCCAGCGTCAATTGCAGAGGTGGGCAATCTTACCCACAAAGGGCCAGCGTCTAGTGCAGAGGTGGGCAATCTTACCCGCAAAGGGCCAGCGTCTAGTGCAGAGGTGGGCAATCTTACCCGCAAAGGGCCAGCGTCTAGTGCAGAGGTGGGCAATCTTACCCGCAAAGAGCCAGCGTCTAGTGCAGGGGTGGGCAATCTTACCCGCAAAGGGCCAGCGTCTAGTGCAGGGGTGGGCAATCTTACCCACAAAGAGCCAGCGTCTAGTGCAGGGGTGGGCAATCTTACCAGCAAAGGGCCGGTGTGTGTGCAGGTTTTTGGGATAACCTTTAGGTCAGCTGTTCAAACCCAGGTGTGAGGACTCTTCAGCCTATCAGTCCTCTAATTAGTAATCTAATTAAGGGCTTGAAGTGAAAACCCACATACATAATGGCCCTTTCTGGATAAGATTGCCCACCCCTGGTCTAGTCTCTAGTGTCTGATTGGACAAAAGGCAACTGTTACCCTTCATTAACTTTTTGCCGATTGGTGGTTCACTCCTGAGTGCGATGAGCAGCTGTGTTTTTGTGATTTATTTTTTTTTGTGCCTTTCCTGGCAGAACACATCCTGTGAGGCCTACGTTTCACTTTCTAGTTCCACTTAAAGTTGAAAATGTTCATCACGATCTGTGAGGTGCTTTCATCGCACATAATCGCATATCTCCAGCTCCATCTGCTGAGAGTCCGTGTGTTGTCTAGCACTTAACTTACTGCCCACGATCTCGTTTGATGACGTGTCGGTCGTCAGAATCGGCCTAGGATGGGCCATCCTGGAAGGTTAGACAAGTCACCTTTGACTACTGTGCTGGTGAGTTTTCAGGGTCTGTGCTTTAATATAATAGCCGCCTTGTATTCTGACTGTACGCCCTTACATCTCGTGACCTGAAATATAAACCAGTAGCCACATTAAAGGCTTCCTCACAGCTGTTAGTGATGGAGGAACATAAAGGAACAAGACGTCTCATGTTGAGTGCATTTGGACTCCGTATGTTCTGTCCAGTTAGGATACCCCAAGCAGTATGTTCTGCTCTTCAGTATAACTGACCCAGTATATTCTGTTCTGTTAGAATATCCTAATGTATATTTTGTTCTTCACTCTAACTTTGGGCCAGTAGGTTCCTGTCTCCCAGGTAACGCACCCGGGAATGCTTGGTATTTTTTTTTGGGTGCATCTGACCCAGCACAGTCTGGTAGATCTGTATCTTTCCGACGCTTGCCCTCATTCCCTTAAAATGAGACTTTGATTATTTACTGAGATGCACGCAGGGCATCCATCCAGTAGTGTTGCACAAAATGACACTTCATGAAGCATTTGCTGTATTTTTTGACACCACTAGATGGTGCTGTTGGTTTGCTTTGGGGCATACTTTGAGCCCTTTTTTTGAACAGAGAGCACCATCTAGTGGGGTCAGAAAATACAGCAAGTGGTTCATGAAACATCATTTTGTGCATCACTACCATCCAGTTTCCCTGCCCTTGATCCTGGTAACCCTTCTCTCCAATGTTCTCCAGCTCTGAGTCACCCCCACACCTTCTTCTGTCGTTTGGAGCTGGGGTCTGACTGGGAGGTCCCAACCAAGTTCCACCGCCACCTGGAAGTGGAGTTTGACATGCCAGCTGCCTCAGCATCCAGAACCACCGTGCGATCTCTGTCGGTGGGAGATAGAACTGATGTCAAGAAGTGGATCAATTATAAGGCACACTTCCTGTACCAGGTAGTGTGTGTATTACCTCCTAATAACACCACGCCTTCCAGGTGCTGTCAACTGGTTCTAAAGTGCTACAACATTAAGTCTTGAATCAAAAGCTTCAATTCATTTCCTCTTCTAGAATTAAATCTATGCACATATAGCACATACAACAGGAACTGATAGTTGTATGTTTGTTCTGTATGTACTGTATGTATGAATGTGAGTGTGAGTGTGTTTGAGATCAGTAACTTTCTTCTTAGTTTGTTCAGAGGAGGAGCCTCAGGAATTTCCAGGAGCTTTTATTTAAGGAACTTGAAATGTAGTGGAAAACTGTGTTGTGGCGACATCTTGTGGTCAGAGGCATTCAGTGCGTATGTGGCAAACTTGAAATTGCCACGTGATCAGCAATCAGGTGGAAGCAAATAGTTGACAGCATACATGGGAGGAGACTTGCAGTACAAAGGCTGTGTTAGCACAGGCACACACAATTCAAAGTGCCCTACAGCACGGTGGCTTCCAGTGCTATGCAGTGCTGTTAAACATATCCAGTATTGCTATTAAATTATAGCTAGGCATTCACTGTAAGCTCAGCCAAGCCACATTTAAGCCAATGTCAGCTCCATGACAACGCGTATGTCTGTAATGTGCTTTTTCCCTCTCTTGTACATTGTCTGCTAAATCAAAATAGAAGCATATTTATTAATCATACGTGAAGATGTATTTTGGAAAGCCTTGAGGCTGCAAGTGCTTGGATGTAAGGGCTTGATGTCTGTTGCGCCTTCTCTTCTTCCAGGTGGAAATGGAGCAGAAAAACACCCCCAAGTTGGATGGTTTGCACACGGAGAGGCCTGGGGAATGCTCTCTGCAATGAGGACTCATAGGCTGGAAGATCAAAAGCCAGTTTGCACTCTGGACAATTGACTCTATTCTTCTGTAGAGTACAAGACAGAGATTGGCCTTAATCTCTCCTTAACTTTGTGTTTTTTAGACTGTGTGGTCGTAAGAAGAGCTTAACTTTCACTGGTTACTTAACAATTAGCGGCAGAGCAGCTTGTGCGCTGATGGGAGAACAATATTTCAAGAATATTCCTGCCGTTGCTATACATTCATAGGAAAATGGCGCCCCCATCTGGCTGTTTCAAGGCTGCCACAGATTGTGTCACAGCGTACAGATATGGGAACCTTTAGTTGACCAAAATTGACAGGTTAGGTAAAGTACAGTAAGCCAATGTGTGAGTCTGTCAGGTCACGTGTCTTAGAAATTTTTCAAGCTGAAAGTTTTCTTCTGTGTCAGGCACCCTTCAACATGTCGACCTGGTCTGTGTCTTCATGATGTATTGCACCTTATTGGCGGTGTGCTGAAATAAGTGTGCCTCAAATCACATGTAATTGAAAGTTGTCTACTGATGCAAGGGGCCGGGTCTAAACTCCATTAGAGCTTTAAACCAGGTGTGAAGTCGGATTAAATGATACATGTTACGGGGCCAGGTCATCGGCAGGTCCTAAAATGTTACCTTTCAATGCAAACTTTTTTAAGTTGTGTTGTCTAACCCAATGAAATGAATGTATTCCTGTCTTCTGAGCAGGAAATAAAGGAGTCTAGCGTGGTACCCAAAATTATTCATTTTTGGGTGAGTTTGAAAGAAGTTATAAAAAATTTGATACTAAGTTGTTTTGATAAAGATTTTGATGTCAAATCTTTATTACATAATTACTTCTTTAGCTACATGAAGTGTGACTTCTTTGGACTTTTGGAGGAAAACACTGTAATTTTCTGCTAAATTCAGATATACTGCGTGCATTAAAACTACTGATATCAAATGCAAGCTAATAAATATTATTTAAAAATATTCTGCAGAGAGCATTTGTAAATAAAAATGGAAGTGACTGACATGTTGAACACTAATAGTGAATTTTAACTCTAAACACAATTGAAAAGAAAACCAATAGATCATGCCTGTCACTTCCGTCATGGATGAGGTGATACGGATGGTGGTAGACAGATGGGGTTTGAAGCTCGGAACGTGGGATGGAAGGATGACTGAGGAAAGGTGATGTCTCACTTTAAAGTCCTAGCGCTTTCACATCACATAGCTTAACGCTCTACTTCCTTTATACTGACGATGTAAATGTCAAAAATCGAAAAGAGAAAGACCTTTGTCTTGACTCCTTCAGCTGATGTTGGCTGTGGCTCGTTTTTGGGCAAAATGCTATCATTTAGATTTCAGATTTAAATCACTGAAATGCAACTGGACTGGAAAGAGGATTTGATTGTAGCTTTACTGTGGCGTTCGAGCCAGCTTTAGAAATAGACGATACTGTCTGTTAATCATGAGGGGCCTTCTGCTTTTCTATGGCTTTCTGAGATACTGTAATGCTGTGGTTCTTTTCTGCAGACGAGAATCGCGTGTGTGACTCCTTCTGTGACTCTCCCCGGGGTGTTCACTGCATATATGCTGTATGGGTGGAGTGACACAGTGGAGCTAAAATAGTTTGCACTGGATGACACCCACGCTTGCGATTATGGATCTGCTGAAAAAGCCATTCTTTTGTACACGTAAATAAATGAGAACACCTTCTCACGAATGTCTGGCTGTTGTGTTTCCCTGTGTTGACCCTGTCCCCTGTGGTGACCCTGGCCGAATGTCTCCTACTTGCCCGGCACCCTCATCAAATCACCATAAATCCTCTCAGTGCCCCCAAACTGAACCCAGGGTGCTTCTCCCGTCCAGGATCGGATATCTGTACTAAGCCCACACTGTACAGGTCCGCGGTGGAGGGTCTTCAGCAGCCTGACTGAGTGGTGCAGTCCAATGTTGTGGAGGCACCAGAACAACCTGCAAACCCAGCAACAGAACCCAAACCAATAGGTTATCCTTCAAGCAGCTCAGTGAGGTCAGGCTTAATTAATGTTACTTTTATGTATGGCCGTGCTGCCTCAATCTATGGGATCAGTATGAAATCATTAACTCTCTTTAATGAACAGTTATACAGGTTACAACAGCACATGCTGTTTATATCATAGAGGAACACTCTGTGCTCTTTTTGTAGACTAAGGTTACAACTAGAACAAGAGAAACATTTTAAGACAGAGTGTACCTTCTCCAGATGTTCTCTGATGAATCACCACTCTCTCTGCTCCCTGAACACCCCGAATCCTTCTGCTGAGCTGCAGTGCCGTAGGTGTTATTTTAAAAACCATACATCCTCATTCAGGCTAAACCTGCCTCTCGTTGTCATGTAGAAGCATGGGACAAATGGGTGGTGGTTTTGTTTGCAGGCCAGGTTCCGCTGCGGGTGAGGGCTCTGAGTTGCGCTGAATGTTATCCAGCTGTAGCAGCTCCAGTTGGAGTCGACCCCGGTCCCCCTGAGCACCTCGTCAGGCTTTGACAGATGGCAACTGCTTCTTCTACAGTTTTGCGCAGTGAAAAAAAAAGTACAGTTTTGAAAGGGGCATGGCATGTTGTCGGCCAGCTGCCTTGATAGTGCCAGAGGCCTGGATTGTATTAGTGTGCAGATATCTGCTTGTATGCGGCCTGGACTTGCTGTGTCGATCTGCCTGAAGGCCAGTTCTTGATTGCTGTTGGAGTTTGCAATATTCTATATGCTCTTTAATAGAGTTTAATTAAACCTGTTTAAGAATCGTGGGTGTGCATTGGCATAATTTCTACCTAAGATGTCTGGATCTGCCTTCTCAATTCAATTGTGTTTTTAAAACCAGCATATTTGTCCCGTGCAGCTGACCACTGGTTAAGCTGAGAACGGCCTCATTATTCAGATCCCTGCTATCTCTATTTTACGTTTGATACCTAGTCTTTTTAGCAAAGGCAGAGCATGCAGTTAGATAAATAAGTCTGGTTAACAATATGGGATAGCAGTTACATCGTTTTTTTAGATAATCCATATTCCTGTCTTCCTCGCTATTTAGTTCAATATAAATCCACAAGGGGGCAGCATTTAATTTTGAATCCTGTAGCCAGCATAATCGATGTGTTCAGGATCTATAAAACGCGTTGGTTGATCTGTACTCATAAAATGCGTGAATTCCATTGAGGTTGATCTTCTACCGTTTTTCTATTTTGCATGTGGTTTTCATTTTTCCAATCAAACGCATTTCACTTCGTTAAATTAACTTTGACAAAAATGAGAGCTTTCATTGGCGACGGTGCTTTTCAAAGATTTTAAGCATAATGAATAATTCATAGTGTGGTTTTGTCCCTAGGATGCCACGTAAATCATTTTAAAGACGTTTCCAAATACTGCTTTTCCGCTCCAGTGTACTGCACTGTGTTATTAGTTTCAGATCTCATTATTTTACTTTACTCTCACAAAAACGGTAAACGAGATTAAAGGCATCTGCAGCGTTCAGTTCACGGTGACCCCCGGGTTGCCTGACTAAAACGCTCACGCAAGAAATTTTACGGCAAATCTATATTATTCCATTATAAGCCTAAAATTAGCTACATCAAAAGCGTTGGGGTAGTTTGCAAACCCTACAGACTATTTACAAGGTAATAAAAATGTTACATACATGTAAATGCATGCGCAGACTTGCCTCGAATTGAAAATCTCACGCCAGCCAGCTGACCAAAGTATTTCTGTAAGGGACACAGTATGAATTAGGGTCTGACCCGGTGCTTGGAGAAGTCACTGAGACTATGAATGGCGATTAGCTTTGCCTTGCTATCCCTGTTCATATATAAGCCCTAACAGATCGACAGCCTGCATTTTTACCCAGACTCCATGCCCGAGTGTGCCCCTTACATCTTGGGAGAGGACCTTTTAAGCACAGTGCCCAATTTGAGCATGGGGGTGGATCTGGCTGTGGTAGAGCAAGTGGCATGTGACCCCAGCCGTGTCCTGGGCTCCGTCAATCAGTCGCCACGTTTCCTGAAAAATACCGTTGTCTTGACGGGATTAAAGGGGAAGTTGTTTCATGTCCTGTCTCACATAGTAGAGTAGGGTCTGGTTTATCAGCACTTGGCCAAACAAGCAGAACATCTTTTCAGAGCAGGTGCAGTGGGCCCTGTGGCTATCTATGGACACCTTGAGAGACTGGTCCATCCTCTTTGATCCAGGACATCTAATCCATTCTGATCCATTCTGTGCCTTCTTGCATGAAAAAATAAACGATTTACGTGATGTGTTGCAGTGCTTCCCAACTTGCAATATGCGTATCACCAGTGGCGCCCCCAGGTGGTATGCAAGAAGACCATGGGACTTTGTTGTGTGCATTGGAAAAGAAGTAGAAATGGAAAATTGAAATCCTAGTGCAATGTGTTGACTACGTGGCCTAATGGATAAGGCGTCTGACTTCGGATCAGAAGATTGAGGGTTCGAGTCCCTTCGTGGTCAGTCTTTGTAGGAGAGTAGTACAGTAGAAGTATACTGGGGCACATAACCCAGAGGATGATGGATGGAAATGATTCTGATTTTTTTTTGTACATCCTCTTTAACTGTATTGGTTTGATTTCCCGACGGGGAGGGTGTGAGCATTTTGTTATGCAGTGGTGGCCGAATGTTTAGGGCAGCTTGCTTGTAACTGGAAGGTTGCTGGTTTAAATCCCTAACCAGCAACGTGCAACTGAGGTACCCTGAGCATGGCACTGCTCCCTTGGTGCTGAACTAGCTGCCCCCTGCTATGGCACGATGTCACATATGGGTTAAATGCAGACGACGTATTTCATTATTGTGTCAACAATGATACCTTTTCAATTGAACTGATAAAGATAATTAATCATTTTCAGGTTTATTAAGAAATATTTTATATTCTCTGTTTTGTGGTACTTATGAAGTACCTTACTGCTTTGGTTTGATCCGAAGTGGTACCAAAAGGGTTTGACTCCTGAGGTGTCTGGGTCTTTTTTAAGCTCTTGAAAGTTTTCCCTTGTAAGCAGGTTCTGCTTTTTGTTGTGTTTTTTTTTTCAGGTCATGAGCATCTGCAGGAAGCCGTGGGGGTCTGTGCTGGTTAAAGTGCTTATTCAGGTTGAGAACACCGTGCTGCCGGTTTGCTGGTTAAAGTGCTTATTCAGGTTGAGAACACCGTGCTGCCGGTTTGCTGGTTAAAGTGTTTATTCAGGTTGAGAACACCGTGCTGCCGGTTTGCTGGTTAAAGTGTTTATTCAGGTTGAGAACACCGTGCTGCCAGTTTGCTCATTTCAGTCTGGTGACTCTGACTCTCCCGGGGCAGATGGAGCTCTGAGATGAGCGCACTGTAATTACAGAGCTTATGGGAGCCCGAGGGCGGTCATGTGATCTCCCTACAGCTCGCTCCCACGCTGCAGAAAGGTGACAGTGTCCGCCCTGCTGTCCCTGCCTTGGTGCTGTCACCTTGGCTCCGTTACAGACCTCTTCCTGGTGACCGCCTACTCCGGGGCTGCCCTTCTCATCCTAGTCCTTCTTCGACTTCGTCTTTATGCCTGCTGTTTATGGCATGACCTCGCCATGTTCTCCTCTGCCTGGTATTCTGCTCAGATTCTGCCACCAGGGAATTTGGGTCGCTTGGCCCTCAGGGTCGGCCCCCCAATGGGGTCGGTGCTGGGCTGTCATATGGCCTGGGATCCCCTGTGGTTTCTTTTTCCAGATCTCTCTCTTACTGGGTCAGGCTCAGCGCTACGTCTATCAGAGGAGAGTCTGGCTTTTGTTTGGTTTTAATAACCCAAACTCCTTCAGCTTGCCAGCATAGCGCGGCCATTTTCATTTACAGTCTTTAAAGTTAAAAATCAACACCCTTTGTCCTTTACCTGACACCTCCTGCTATTTTCGCACAAGATTATCGAAGCGGAGTCGCCAAGTTGGCCAGAGATACCCGTAATCCCTTAATGCAGATGCTCTGCTGCTGAGACATGGTGCAGTGGGGCTCTGGAGGGAGCTGAGATAATGGGCAGTTTGATTTGATCATATAGGGCTGCTTCCATGCACGTGGTGTGACAGGATACCTAATGGAAACAGACCGATGTGTCCCAGCTGATTTCTCTTCTGCTGCTCTTCTGTATGGTCAGACCTGGATGGAAGCAAGATCATCAGTCTGATTCCCATGTGCATCTGCCCAGGATCAGGGAGATGGAACGCCTGCTCTCTGGAGAACATGACAGACCTTTCTGCCCGGCCAAGAAAACACCGTTTGTGAAGGTCAGTTCTGTATTTTGCATGTATTCTTGTCATTTCATTAAACAGAGGTGGAAAGTTCAAGTCCAGAAAGCACAAATCCAGACCATGGTTTTGTTCCAACCAGTTGAGTACTCTCTGACTGTGACTCTATACTCAACTAATGCAGTCATACTTTCAAAGGTGACTTAACTGCTCAGTTATGACCACTAGGGGGCAGAAGTGTCCCTGGCCATCTGACACTGCCAATGGTACTAACGGTAACAGAAATAGCCTGGGGGGTTGAAACATGCTTACAGTCAGTGCAGAGAGGAGCAGTAATGAGGTAGCGAGCTCCAGACAAATGAAGATGGCTGTCCTTGTTCCCCCTGCTTGTGTACCTTCTCTGCCTCGGTTACATAAGCCACTAACACAGACCCCAGCTTATTGTGCTGGAATGTGTCTGTACCCCAGATTCGAATCGCTGCCTGATCGGAGGA